CCGGCTTGCGTCCTGCTCCAGAAAGGAGCGGAGTGTGCGCAGCTCACCCGTGTCCGGTGCCACGCTGAAGAGGGTGAAGTCAGTGGCCTGGAGCAGCTGGTAGGAGAGACGGGAATTCAGTCCTGCATCCGCATCCACTGCTGACACTGTGCCCACGAGGTAGCCAGGCCTGGCTGATCGTGGCACCAGCTCGGTGGCCACGGAGCCATTGCGCAGCATGGGGGAAACGATGACGGGAGCATTGTCATTCTGGTCTAGCACGAAGATATGGACCGTGACGTTGGCACTGAGTGGTGGGAAACCTGCATCCTGGGCTTGCACCTGGATCTGGAAGCTGCGGATCTGCTCGTAATCGAGGGAGCGCAGGGCATACATGTGCCCGCTGTCTGAGTTGATGGACACATAAGTGCCCACAGGCATGCCATGGATGTGTCCATCGGCAATGGAGTAAGATAGATAGGCATTTTGTTGGCAGTCCGGGTCCAAAGCACTGACAGAGCAGATGGAGGCACCTGGAGCATTGTTCTCCATCACATAAACACTGTAGGAGGGCTGGAGGAAGCGCGGGGCGTTGTCATTCACATCAGACACTGGGATGGTGAGGGTGCTGCGGGTCAGCAGGGCAGGGGAGCCCATGTCCCGTGCTGTGATGCTCACGTTGTACTCAGGCACAACTTCCCGGTCCAGTGCCTGTGTAGTGACCAGCGTGTAGTAGTTGCGGAAGGAGGATCGGAGCTCAAAGGGTACGTCGGGGCCAACTTCGCAACTCACACGCCCGTTGTCACCAGAGTCCCGGTCCAGAACGCTAATGACAGCAATGACAGTGCCTGGTGGGGCATCCTCCTGCACAGGCGTGGACACAGAAGTGAGGGTCACCTCTGGAGCATTGTCATTCACATCAAGGAGGTGCACAAGCACCCGGCAGTGCACGGCCACAGCCGAGGGTCCGCGGTCCTTGGCTTGCACATAGAGCTCGTGGATACTTGCCCGTTCATAGTCCAATGGGCCCTTCAGCAGTACCTGCCCAGTCCGAGGCTCAATATAGAAGAGCTCCCGGACACGTGGTGGTGCGTGCCCACTGAAAGAGTACTCGATCTCCCCATTGGGGCCTTCATCCAGGTCAGTGGCATTGAGCTGAATGACCAGGGTGCCAGCAGGGGCATCCTCAGGAAGGCTCACGCCATATGAAGGCTGGTCAAAGGCAGGCACGTTGTCATTCGCATCCAGCACCGTGACTAGGATGTGAGCTGTGCCCGAGCGCTCAGGGACACCACCATCGAGAGCAGTGAGCAGCACCCGGTGGGCACGTTGCTGCTCGCGGTCAAGGGCACGCTCCAGCACCAGCTCTGCAAACTTGCTGGCATCGCTGCGCGTCTGCACTTCGAGAGAAAAAAATGCATTGGGGCTGAGCCGGTAGGTATGTACCGAGTTGGTGCCCACGTCCGGATCCTGGGCACTCTCCAGTGGGCACCAAGCACAGCAGACTCAGCCACCTCCAGCACATACTCTTGCCAGGGAAATGTAGGTGCGTGGTCATTGATGTCCAGCACCTCCACCTCGACGCGGTAGAGCTCCAGCGGGCTCTCCACTAGGAGCTGCAGATGGAGCAGGCAGGTCCCCCCAGCCTCACACACCTCCTCCCGGTCAATCCGCTCGTTCACGAAAAGGATTCCATTCTCCAGGTTCACCTCCAAGTGCTGCCTGGCCCCGGCCCGCGACACGATGCGGAACCGCCGGGCTGACAGGGT